ATTTTTTTAAACATTTTTTACATTAATTACAGTTTATTTACTTTGTATCCTAGCTGTAGCCCTCTACTTCACTTCTTCCCAAGCCCACCTTCACTCCCTCATCTCCTCCCTGCCCCTCCCTAAGTACACTGATAGGGGAGGTCCTCCTCCTCTTCCATCTGACCCTAGATTATCAGGACAATATCCTTCTCTGTGGTCTAGCAAGGCTTCTCCTTGGAGAAGGGGAAGGGAAGGAGATCAAAGAGCCAGCCACTGAGTTCATGTCAGAGACAGTCCCTGTTCCTCTTACTTGGGTTCCCACTTGGATGCTGAGCTGCCATGGGCTACGTCTGAGCAGGTGTTCTCAGTTATATCCATGCATGGCCCTTGTTTGGAGAATCAGTCTCAGAAAAGACACATGTGGGCAGATATATTTGGTCTTTGTGGAGCTCCTGTCCTCTCCAGGTCTTAATTAACTCTCCCTTCTTTCATATGATTCCCTGCATCTGCCCAAGGTTTGATTATGAGTCTCAGGATCTGCTTTGATACACTGCTAGGTAGAGTCTTTCAGAGGCCCTCTAAGGTAGGCTCCTATCCTGTTTCTTATTTTCTCCTACTTCCAATGTCCATTCCTTTTGTCTTTCTAAATGAGGATTGATCATCTTATCCAGGGTCCTACTTCTTGCTTAGCTTCTTTAGGTGTACAGATTTTAGTATGTTTATCCTATCTTATAGGTCTAGTATCCACTTATAAGTGAGTATATACCATGTGTCTTTCTTCTCCTGGGATACCTCACTCAGGATGATCTTTTCTAGATCCCACCATTTGCCTGCAAATTTCACTATTTTCTTGTTTTTAATTGCTGAGTAGTATTCCATTGTGTATACAATTTTCAGCCATCTAAAACCCAGTGGCCCAGTTTGTTTTTGGTATACTGTCTTTGATGGGTCTGGTTCTATCAGTTACTTCTAAGCTCTGTGTGTGACTAAAGCTTCAATAATGTGCTGGATATCATCCTTTCTTCCACAGAGATTAGTTAAGGTTGAACATGCACTTTCACTGAAGCACTGAGTCAGGACTATTTGCAAACTTATGGAAGAAAGGATGACACCATGCTAAGAATTCTGCATCTTTCCTCTGTACCAGGGCAGGCTTGTCTAAATGCAGTTGACATAGAAACAGGAAAAACCAAGAGATAAAAAGACATATTATATGCATTCTAAATTTAGGCATATGGAAATTATGAAATTCTTGGGAATTAATCCCATAAACAATTGGAGACATTTCTATTACCTATAACAAAAGGAGAAGAATAACATCTAATAAATATCAGTTAATTGTTTCATAATCAATAGCATTGACTGCATTGTTAAAAACAAAACAAAACAAAACAAAAAACCTTAGTGCTAAGTCTTTTCACAGGTGTTTGTATTTTTCCTCTAACATCCTTCTTTATACTTCTAACCATACAGACTTCTGTGTATACCTATTAAAAACTCTGAGAGGCTCCACCCACAGCCAAATATTAAGCAAAACTGGTGCAGTTTTATAGAAGACTGGGGAGAAGGATATAAGGTCCCAGGTGAAAAGAACTCAAGAAAACTAACAGAAGCAACTAACCTAGGCCCACAGAAAATTACAAAGACTGAAGCACCAACCAAACAGCATGCATGGACTGGACCTAGGCCAATTTCATACACTGGTGTACTGCGTGGTCTTCATGTGGCTCCCCTATCAAGTGGAGCTAGGGTTCTCTCTGACATGGCCTCTGTTGCTTACTTTTGAAACACTTTGCACTTACTGGGCTGCCTTCTTTGGGCTCAGTGGAAGAGGAAGCATTTAGTCCTGGTGTGTCCTGGTGTGGCTGGGGTGGGTTTGTATGAGGTGTGAAGAGGCAGGGGCTTTCTTTTCTCTGAGAAGGGGAGAGGAGAAAGGGGGAAGAGGGTGGGAAGGCGGGACTGGGTGGAGAGAAGGAGGCGTCTATGATATAAAATGAATAAATAATTTTTTAAAACATGCATTATAAAGAAAACAACAATATAGCTGTACTATCGAATTTCCTCTTATTAAATTTTCTTAATTATCTTCAAATTTTATAGCCTCTCCACTCATCACAGAGCATGTATAAGGCAACTTTGGAGTCCTGTCATTTTTGATGTTGTCTTTTTCTTAGAACTGTCTTTTCACAAAAAAAGAAATCAACACCAAAAGCAAAAATGTGCTGACAAATTAGAAATGCTAACATAATAACAAAAACATTGTCATGGGATAGTTGATGCCATTAAAGGCCATGGATCCTAATTAAACACGAGGTGGGCTAAACTGCATAATTATGCAGGCAACATTGGCTATATCTCGGGAAATTAGGGCAATCATGTTCCTCAACAATCACACAGTTCATAAACCAGGAAACAAAGAGAGTTGATCAGATGTCTGTTATTGTCTGATACTATTTAGGGCATGTTATTTCACTCACAGTCCTTTTCACTCTCAAAAACATGTTTCTTTTGCTTATATTGGAAAATAGGAGTTACCATCTCAGTATATCAGACCCCTGGGTGTCCTCTTTAAACTGAAACAAGCAATGGTTAAGTAAGATGAAAACTTACTGAACTATATATTCACCTGAAAATATGTTATCTAGACACATATTTTAGGAAGAGATAAGGAGTCTGTTGAGCATGGAACAGTTTTCATAGGATACCAAGCAAGACCACTGAGTAGCATCTGCTTCTTCCAGGTTTAGACCAACAAAAGTAGAAAACTCGCAAGCTTATCAAGCCATACAGAAGCACTATATGACTGGTACAAATGCCAAATAGTTGACACAGAAGTAGAAACTAGAACCTGAAATATTTATATATGTGAAAGGAAGTTTCTACTGTATGAGACTCAAATAGAATTTAGTAACTTGCATCGGGTGTAACAAATCAGAACTGATTCTCAAGTAAAATAACTGTAAATGTAGCAAAAACATGAACAAGTAAAAAATTAAAATGACTACATTCTTAAAATTCAAATTTATGTTATGTTATGTTGTATGTGTTTACATATTTGCATATATATACATATGTATATATGTATATGATTTTGAAAAATAAAATTTTGCAAAATATTTCTTATATAACTATGAGCAATTTTGAACAAAATTGAATCTTTCTAAGTACACTCATTTCTATTTTTTAATTTTGAGATTTACTAAAATGAACATTAAGGCTATATTTTAATACTAACTGAAAGTAGCATACTTCTTTACGACTTAGTTGTTTCCACTGTATTAAGCATCTTCTCAGTGTTGTAAACAACAATAATCTGATGATCATTTTATTACTGTCTAATGAGACCAGCATAGGGCCAAGATCAGGGGAAGGGAACCAGCATGCAGCATACAGGATTAGTGTTTTGAGTCCAAAATTTCATTGTGCGAAATATTCTTTGATATGTATATAATATATATAACATATATATTATATATATATATATAATTAAACAGAATGGTAGAGATTATAAACCTTGACATACATCTTTTTTGTCTATGTCTCTGCTAAAAGCTATGCAAGAGAAATCATTTATGGTAAATGATTCTAACAAAATAATAAAATTATTTATATAGTTTATATACATGAATCATATTTTAAAACAGGTCTTTATTGAAGAAATTATCACCAAGCATACACCAGGGAAAAATGGCTCAGCTGATGAAGATACCTACCCCGAAACCTGTTGACATTGGTTTGTTTGTGGGAGCCACATGATAAAAGGTAAGAAATGAACCTCCCAAGATTTATTCTGACCTTCATGCACACACACATTCACACACACACAGACATTTCACATATATACAATGCACTCCCGCAAATGTACACAAACACACAAACGTGTACACACACACACACACACACACACACACTGAATAAAATGTAATAACATTTAAAAATTATATATCTGCAAGAAACAAAAATACGGTTTGTATTACACTATTCATATATTTGTTTTAGTGACATTTCAAACTTTGGTGTATTTCTTGTGCTTGTTTGACTTTTAAAGTAATCTTGGTAATTTTAAGTGAATATTGACTGACAAGTCTGTTTCTTCTCGCATTCTGTTGATTTTTAATGTAGGACAACAGCATTTTAAAACTGGCTAGTCCTATATAGCGTTGCATACTTCTGACAAGACCTCGTCTCTGCAAGCAAGATGGAAAGCATGACTTCGTTAGAGCCAAGCAATCTCTTCATTATTGTGTTCTTATCTCCATATGATGTGTGTGTAGAGCTGCAGGTGTGTGTGTGTGTGTGTGTGTGTGTGTGTGTGTGTGTGTGTGTGTGTGTGTGT